TAAGGATAAATTAGAAAATCTTAAAAGAAAAAATTAAAACCTGAACAATATGAACCATTCATTTGATTTAATAATTTGGCGGTCATTTTTTCTACCCAATGTTAATAATTAAATAAATTCGCTGGTCAAATCCGCTAGTATAATCCGCTAACGTTAACCGCTAACTGCTGATTGTCAAACAAGGACATTGTGAGGTAGTTCTCACTTCAATTTGTTGTGTGATTTGAATACTCTCGTTGTCACAAAATCTTTCAAGTAGTTAATATGGTTGACTTTATTAATTATATTTTTTAAATTTTTTCATGGTATTAATAAAATACTTGGTAAATAAATATTTTTTTAATTTTTTTTTTTGAATAAAGGCATTGTGGACACATAATTCTAAATTAAAGAAATGCATATGTATTATTTTTTGTTGTAACTACTAAATTATTATTTATATAATTTAAGAAGAGTAAAATAGACTACTAATTATGCCAACTTTGATTAGGATGAGGTTCGAACCTAAGACTTTTTTTTTTTTTATTGAAATCAATGAGTAAGTTAACGGTGAACTAACGGCAATTCTTAAAATTTTAACGGAATTAGTAATGGTGTGTAGGTATTTTAGGAAATTTTAGTGTAAAATTTAAATCTTATCAATCTTTTAATTAATCTGAGCCATTCATTTGATTAAAATCTGTGACCGCCATTTTTTCTACCCATTATAGGCCTAACTCTCTTGGGCTCTTATTAGTATAGTAGATTAGGATTTGTGGTTAAGTTCTATTAAGACTTTAATATTAGAATTAGATTAATGGTGTAGTTATAATTCTATATTAGACTTTAATATTAGAATTAGACTAACGGTGAATTAACGGAAAAGTTAAATAGATAATCATATAATTAAGGATAAATTAGAAAATCTTAAAAGAAAAAATTAAAACCTGAACAATATGAACCATTCATTTGATTTAATAATTTGGCGGTCATTTTTTCTACCCAATGTTAATAATTAAATAAATTCGCTGGTCAAATCCGCTAGTATAATCCGCTAACGTTAACCGCTAACTGTTGATTGTCAAACAAGGACATTGTGAGGTAGTTCTCACTTCAATTTGTTGTGTGATTTGAATACTCTCGTTGTCACAAAATCTTTCAAGTAGTTAATATGGTTGACTTTATTAATTATATTTTTTAAATTTTTTCATGGTATTAATAAAATACTTGGTAAATAAATATTTTTTTAATTTTTTTTTTGAATAAAGGCATTGTGGACACATAATTCTAAATTAAAGAAATGCATATGTATTATTTTTTGTTGTAACTACTAAATTATTATTTATATAATTTAAGAAGAGTAAAATAGACTACTAATTATGCCAACTTTGATTAGGATGAGGTCCGAACCTAAGACTTTTTTTTTTTTTATTGAAATCAATGAGTAAGTTAACGGTGAACTAACGGCAATTCTTAAAATTTTAACGGAATTAGTAATGATGTGTAGGTATTTTAGGAAATTTTAGTGTAAAATTTAAATCTTATCAATCTTTTAATTAATCTGAGCCATTCATTTGATTAAAATCTGTGACCGCCATTTTTTCTACCCATTATAGGCCTAACTCTCTTGGGCTCTTATTAGTATAGTAGATATATATATAGTAGATTTGATCCTTATCAAGTATCATGAGTAATCTTTTTTTAATTTGTCCCGTTGCTAAATGACACTTAATGACGATTAGATGTCATTCACTCTAAATTACTAGATATCTCTCACTCTTGTCATGCACTAAATCAATGACTAATAATAGATACTCACACACACACATAAACAGAGAGAGGCCTATCCCAAAAGACCGACTAGCTTAATATGTGATAAAAATCATTGAGTTTGATACCATTTGACAATTTATTATATGAAATCACGTATAATCTTGATATTTACTTGATTGATCTTTTTAACTCACGCAAAGTTAGTAAAATCATAACAATAGTTTTATTAGTATGTCAATGAATATTAGGGTAAATTCAATAGATGAAAATAATAATTATATTATAAATAAAAAACGATGTTACATTCCTTTTTTAATTTGACATTATAATATTGACACCATTACGTGGCAATACTCATTGTTTGTATTTTTTGTAAGAGTAAATACCAGCGGGGGTCCCTTGACTTTGGTGACACTGTCACTTTTAGTCATCAACTTTTAAATCAACCACTCTTAGTCCTCTTACTTTTTGTTTCTAGCCATCTATGGTCCTTCCGTTAAACTTGACCATCTAATGTCGTTTTCTCAAGGATAATTTAGTCCTTTCATAATTAATAAATTAATTATTATGTTTGTCGAGTCATACCGAGATATCCCGACGTCGTTTTGGCACAACCTTCGTACTAATTTTTGTACGCCATTTTGATTCACGAGCTGGTTTTGTACACGTTCATAGTTGGGAAATCATTGTTTGTCTATTCTGATGAGGAAATTAAACATAATAATTAATAAATTAATTATAAAAGAACTTAATTATCTTTTAGAAAACGGCATTAGATGGTCAAGTTTAACGAAAGGACCATAAATGGCTAAAAACAAAAAGTAAGAGGACTAAAAGTGACAGTGCCACCAAAGTCGGAGGACCTCCGCCGATATTTACTCTTTTTGTAACTAATATAAGTTGATTATATATATATATATATATATATATATATATATATATATATATATTAGGTTTCCCCTATGCTAATCATTAGTCCCCAAATTTATGTCCAAAAGTGATGAGGTAGATCATGAGTCACCTAATTAATTATTAGTTCCTACCTTTACATGTACACTATGCATATAATTTTTCATCACCTCTGATCAAATTTTTGAACTTTGAATATCTCAAGTTTGATTAATTTTTAACGTTGTAATGTTAATCAATTCAAAAATAAATAAATGTATTATCACATAAAAAAAAGAATAATTTTAATAAAAGACCATCTTATTTTTTTTTGAAAGTTACTGGCTCTATTACATTGTAGTATCTGTTCATATACTTTCTCTACCTACTGAAACACAAAGAACCAATAACGCCTCCACTGAGGCTTGAACTCATAATCTTCCTAATGGAAGTCCAACCCGGGTACCATTGGACCACATAGTCCTGGTAATAAAAGACCATCTTACTTGAGATATATAATATTTTTAATTAAAATATGATACTTTTTTAGATTTATACAAAAAAATTACATCTAACTAAAAAGTACTTCGCATTACATAAGATGATTTCACACCAAATTTATTCTAAATATTATGGAATATATTTTAATTTAAAAAATAGTATACATTTCATGTGAAATGATGCACCAGAATAAATATAAATAATAAATAATCCTATCATATCCTATCCTATATATAATAAAGCCATATGGTCTTGTCAAAATTAAATGGTGATCATCAACATTTAATTTTCACAAGACCATAATAATATTGTTAATTATAATAACAATAATAATAATAATAATTGCAATAATAATAATGATAATAATTTTCACTCACAGTTTCTAATATATATATATATATATATATATATATATATATATATATTATATTTCAATTTCTACTGGCAAATTATTGTGTGAATGATGATCCACATAATTGTAGGGATCATGAATATCAAATACATTTTTAATATATTAAAAATACATTATTTTTTTTATTGAAAGTACCTTACATACATATATAATGTACCCTTAGTAATTTAAAATATACTTTTTATTTCATGCAACCCCAAAGTTCATAAGTTTGAAATTAATATATGGCATAGCTAGGCGACCTAATATTTAAGATTATTGATGTGCATATTGAGGACTACGGAGACAAAGATGCGTTATTCGTGGATTCATCGGATACTATCCAACAACACTCTCCAACTTAATTGACACGAAGTAGGCTTAGTAACATTAAGATTATATTCTCGAATTATTAGTTCTCATCTTTTATTGATTACACACTTAATTCGATAGTATTTGGAAGAAAAAATCAATGTTCGAACTAAGATTGTGATTTTGGTCTTTAAAGGTCAATTGTACGTTGCTACATCTAGAGTTAGAAATCTCAAAGGTTTAAAAATTTTGATCCGTGGTGACTCTAAAATTGTAATTCAATTACTATTGTAGTTTACTAAGTTCTTAAAAATTTGTAATATTAAATACTATGTACTAAATTTTTAATATAGTTTAAGATTTGTAGTAATCACCCACCTTAAATATTATTTTAATTGTAAATATATTTATGTTCATAATTTTATCATAGGAATTCACACATAATAATTATTAAATAACAAAAATTTTATATATGAATAAACCTCATGTATGGTATATTTTTATAACATATTTTCCGTGCATCGCACGTGACAAATACTAGTATATATAAAGCCAAAAGAAAAATAACATTTCACAAAACAAGATTCATCACTTAAAAAAAAAAGAATATGTGAAAGGTCATAGTTTCGAGTCTCAATGAGGTAATATTAATTCATTAGACTTCAATAGATTGAGAAAGTATGAACAGATACTACATCTAAGAGGTCAATAATACTAATAAATAAATAAATAAATAAATAAAACGAGCACCCTTAACTGATGACTACGAAGATTAAACAAGAGTCTCGCGCACCAGAACAAATCAAGACAGAGTGGCACGAGAACCCCGCACTAACTTCCAAATGTACCCTTGAACCTCCAAACACGTCGATTTGTCTATTCAGCCAGTAAATAAGTCGAAATCCGAAGGGCAAATGGGTAATCAGACACCCGATAATTATTTCTTAAGATGGATTGGATTTATAATATGTTTACGGTATTATTATTATTAACCTAATAAGGCAACCGTTCAGATTTATCTCGTACCGGAAATTTAAATCAACGGTGAGAGGGGCGGCGATGAGGGCTTGCTATTCCTATAAATACCCCTTGCTACCTCATCCCTCTTCGTTGCATTCGTTCCTCTTTCTCTCTTTCTCTCTTTCTCTCTCTACGCACTTTTCTCTCTCTCTCTCTCTCTAGAGAAGAAAATCAACTTAAAGCTCACAACTTCAATAGGATAGAAAAGAAAAAAAACAATATTTTTTTCTCGTTTTCTATTATTATTAATTATTAATTAATTAATTAATTAATTTATTTCGCTGTCCCCCACTCTCTCTCTAGATTTGGTGCTCCTAAGAGGTATTTTCCTCTCTCCCAATACCCTATTTGACTTATTTATTTATAATTTTTATTTATTTTTCATTGAGAAATATTGGTCAGTGTACAGAGGAAATTAGATCGAAATTAGCTGTTTGGAATGTGTGTGCTGAAACTTGAATCGATCTGATATTGAACAAAAAGCGAAAATTTGGATCTTTGTTAATCAATTAATCACGAACAGGGAAGAGTAATTATTATTATTAATATTATTGCTTATGTGCGGTGTAAACACAGGAAGCCCTAGTGTGATTTCAAGTTTATCTGCGTGCTGCGTCTTGGTTTATTCGATATATCAGGGGAGATTTTGTCTGGAAATCAAAATGACAGCCAGTTAGGGTTTTTAGGTCAGTTTGGATTCTTGCTCTATCTTACCTGTGGATTGTGTTGTGGATTTTTTATTCATGTTTAACTTTATGGTAGGGATATGGTTGTGAGGAATGGGGTGTTGGGGATAGGCTTCCAGTTATCTTGGTGCTGTCTAATTAATTGCTTAGTGGATTCTTTGAATTGGAAGGATTGTTGCAATGATGTGGATTTTTTTTTTTAGATGCAATTTTTTTGCACATTACTCTTTTCAATATAGGTAGAATTAGTGAATTGGAAACATATAACAAGGATGAGAACTTCTGATTAATGCCCATTTCATTCATCTACTATCTTTATAGGTTTGGGACTACTTATTCCGAACGTGTGCGGTGTTACTTATGGATCGAATTTTTAAGGAGTGTTCAGATTTATGATTAGTCTCACTAGTATCACATTGCTGGTTTGTTATATTAATATCAGTGATCACCCTACATAGCTAATCCACCCACTCATATCCCCTGGTTTCCTGTACACTAGGAAGTTACTGCTTTTTTAGATACTGGTATGGATCTGGAAGCAATGTTGTCTTTATCTTCTGGGTAATTTGGATTTTAATGCTCACATTGATAAATATTTTCTTTCCTTTTGGAATGCCTTTCTCTTAATCTGCCAGATTGTTTTTTCAATGGCCAAGTAAATGAAAGAAATTGAATTACTTTCCTTGACATGATGCAAATGGAATAGTGAATGAGGAATACCTTAAAGGGTTATGTGGGCATGACTTCTTTGGATTGACCTTTGGAATTAGCAAGCAAATACCTCCATTCTCTTTTCATTGACAATTCTTTTGATCTCTAGTTGTGATTAGTTATTGCTACTAAAAGGCTTCATCGCCAATTTGTTTTTTGCGGTGGCCTGCGAACCTGATCCTCTGTGGTTGCTGTCTTTTTTGTTTGCAGAGGCCTTTTCATTTTATCAGGAGCAAGAGGTTGGATTTTTTACCTACTGCCTCTTCTATTTGGTATGCTATGTGCATTTCAGCTAGAAATAATAGACAAAGAGACGGGTATATACAGAAACTCTAGTTAGTCTATGTGTTGTTTTATATGAAATGGCATCTAAAGGAAGGCTGTTATTTGATCTTAATGAACCCCCCACTGAGGATGATGAGGAAAATGATGGTGTTTCTAGCTCCCAGCCTCAGAGAGCGGTTCCTTCTTCCAGTAATCACACTTCTGACTTTTTTGCAGCCTCTTCGGGTCCTCAAAGGATAGTTAACAACCATGCCTTTTCACATGCATCTTCTTTATCGGTGTTTCAGCCTTTTGTACGTCTAAAAAGCTCTGAGGCTACAAAACCTTTTAATGAACAAGAGAATAGTAGTGGGGATACGGCATTAAATGTAGGTCCATCATTGATAAGTAATGGAAAGGAACATCATAATATTACTGGGAATACGACATTAAATGTACATTCATCATTGATAAGTAATAGTCAGGATATGAAGGCTGTGCTCCACCCAAATTTGAGCTTTGTAGGTACACAAGTTATTGAGAAAGAGGAAGGTGAATGGACTGATGCAGAGGGATCTCCAGATATATGCAGAAATTCTGAAATCCATGAACATCCAAGTTCTGTGGATGATAAAGTTCAAGAGGAGAAAAGTACTGTTGATAAGGTTAACAAAAGTGAAAATGTTGTTTCTGTGAAGAGTATTTCTCAAAGCATTGAAAACATGAAGGATGAAAATAGCATTGCTCCCCCCCTAGGACCTGATAAAGACACAAATGAAGGGAAAAACAGTAATAGCCGAAATTCAGAAAGCAATGGCAAAGGTGACAACTCTATGGAAGGTCAAGAGGACACTAGCTTGATGCCAAAGCAAAGAGAAATTCGAGGAGTTGAAGCAAGTCATGCACTGAAGTGTGCAAGTAATTTTGCAAAGCGTCCCAGGCTTGATCAGCAGAAGGAAGCAATGCTTGGAAAGAAGCGTAGCAGGCAGACCATGTTCCTTGATCTGGAAGATGTTAAACAAGCAGGCCCCTTGAAGAGTTCAACTAGGCGGCAGAACTTTCCAGCAGCTGTTACAACTCGCACTGTAAAAGACACTCAGTTGAACGTCCCAATTGCTGACAGGAGTGGGGAAAAGCAGGTGCAGCCATTTACTAAGGACATGAAGTTGGTTGATTCGTCATGTAATGAAGGAAGTAGTTCTGTGGAACCTAATGGCTCTAAATCAGAGTGTAATGGTGATATGCATGTAGGATCTTTAAATTTTTCCAGAAGGATGAATAGTTCTGCCAATCTTGCAGCAGAGACTCCAGCACCCTCAATAAATAGACAGAGTTCTTGGAATCAACCTTCAGATCAGAGGCAAATGCAAGCTAAGAGTTCACAGCCTCCTATTAGGAAGCCTGCCTTGATTGGCCAAAACTTAATGGATCCAAAATTGGGAGCAAAAAAGCTTCCTTCAAAGAAGCAACCTGTTGTAACTGCCCAATACCATGATACATCAGTTGAGCGTCTTCTGCGTGAGGTGACGAATGAGAAGTTATGGCATCAGTCAGGTATCTAATTCTTTTTCCAATAAATAATCATGTTTTTTAAAGCTTTAGTTTTACTTATTGTGCTATTGATTTTGGCTGTGTAAATTCATTTTAACCAATTTTAGCCTCAACTCCAAATATAGAATATTCAATATTGTGAGATGAAAATATAACCATGATCAAACTATATGTGGTATTGTAATTTTTTGTTTTGAGTTTGAGGTAAGAATCAGTCTTTTATAGAAGGAGCAAAAATAAATATGATGTTACTTTTTTTTTTTTTTTTTTTTTTTTTTTTTTTTTTTTTTTGGCTGCTTTACCTGAAAGATTTACTTGAAAATAAAAACTGTTATGGATAAGATTATTTGGTGTAACCATGCTTAGTTAAGTCCTGCTGCTTGATGATTCATTCGTTTTTCTGTTTCAACTATCTTCATTTAAGAGGCACTTAACTGCTGGCTGAAACATTTTTCTGGTTCCTGATAATATTGGCAAATTTTCCAATAGTTTTTTGTGATAATTGTTTGTTCTCTCTTGCAATGCTAATAGCTGAGGAGATTAGTTTTGAATTGATATTTTCTTTCCGGGTGATTTTTTTTTTTTTTTTTTTTTTTAAATCATGGATTGCAACCTGCACCCCACAATGTGATATTTTGGTGAAAAGAGCATTTGCTGTAATAGTTTATTAAGTGAGTGGTAATCTTTCTATTACTCAGGCCCACACATTAAGGAGGGGATCCTACAGCTTCATCTGGTGGGCATCTCTACTGTCCGGAAAGCTTGTGGGATGACAGATTGTCTCCTAGAAAATTAATTCAATAATTATTAGTTTGTTTGCAGGGACCATATAAAATAATTATAGTCATATAAAGATTTTCATAATGTGCATTCTTTATTAGCTCTGCTTATCCATAGACCTTTTTTGGGTTGATAAACGTGGGAAAGTTACCACTTTTGTTTTTCTTATGCATGTGATGTTTTGTTTTGTTGTGATATCTGAAATTCTTCTCATTTATATATTTTTTTGAAGTTGCTTTATTGCTAGCACCTTTATAAGCATCAACAAGTTCTCTCATTCTTTTCAGGAGTGTTATATGTGCCCTCACTTCTTTCTGTATATGTCTGTGACTTATGCTCTAGATTGATATTTCACATTACACCACTATTTTGCCTCTAATGTGTGGATTAGCACTTATTATATTCTTTTGCATTTCAGATAAAACAGAGCTACAGTGTGTTCCTGGTAGCTTTGACTCTGTGGAAGAGTATGTTAGAGTGTTTGAACCTCTGCTTTTTGAGGAATGTCGTGCCCAACTGAGCAGTACTTTGGAGGAGGTAACTGAATCAGGATCACACGTCAAAGTTTATGTAAAAAATGTTGAAAGACGTGAAAGAGGTAGTTTTACGTATGTTATTTTATAAGATTATACTCATGTTCTTGTAGTGTTCAACAATTAGATAGTGGTAGTCTACATGTTTATTATACTGTTACTTTGCAAATGCATTCAAAATTAGGTTATTGTTTAACCCAAAGGAATAGCTGAAAAGGACAAATATTTCCAAGAGCTTAATTTCAAATATTTTAAAATTCAGACCACAACAATCTCATCAGTGGAAAAAGTTATGGAAATACAGATTTATGCTTCAATTTTGATGTGATAATTTTCTTATATTCACGTGTCAGCACATTCTATCTACATGGGAATATTTGATTCCTAGGTGTAAAGTCAGTACAGTCATGATGTATGATTAAATAAGCTTTCTTTGTTGAATATTTATAAATGGTTTAGCTCAATCTCAAAAAATTATGTGAGGCAATCCGAAGACTTGCGGAAATAGGAAAAATAGATTATTCATTTCTGTATGATTATTTGTAATTTCCTCCAAGTCTTCCACATCATCTCAATTTAGGTATTGAGGAGTTGGTGTAACTATAGCCATTCTTCATTGTTGTTATATTCTTTTTGTTTGGTCAGCTTTTTTCTAACCCCTCTTATTTGCAGGATGGTATGATGTGATACTTCTTCCAGAAAGTGAGTACAAATGGACATTCAAAGAGGGAGATGTTGCAGTTCTTTCCACTCCTCGACCTGGATCAGGTTTATATATAGAATTCTTGTTGGAGTTTTGGGATTGCATATCAAATTCTTTTAGCTAACTATGAAACGAATTTTATAAAGCAGTCAGATTGCGAAGAGGCTTTGGAGTTGATGAAGAGCCCGAGATAAATGGTCGTGTGGCTGGGACAGTAAGGCGGCATATACCTATTGATAAAAGGGACCCTCCTGGGGCAATCCTCCACTTCTATGTTGGGGATTCTTATGACAACAGGTCAGTGTTCTGCACTAAGCAAATACATATTTTCAGGGCAAACCATTGAGAAAAAGATACTTGTTATTGTTTCAGCAAGATTGATGATGACAATATTCTGAGGAAATTACAACCAAGGGGCACCTGGTTTCTGACTGTGCTGGGCTCTCTTGCAACCACCCAAAGAGAGTATGTTGCTCTGCATGCATTCCGCCGGCTTAATTCACAGGTACTAACTAAAGTATGTTTTATGATTATGAAGTTTTTTTTTAGTAATTGCCCTTTTTCTGATGAAGTAACAATGTTGTTTATTCTCTATGTTAGATGCAAAATGCTATTCTCCAACCTAGTTCTGAGCATTTCCCCAAATATGAGGAGCAGACACCTGCAATGCCTGACTGCTTCACACCAAACTTTGTTGAGTACTTGCACAGGACTTTTAATACCCCCCAGTTAGCAGCAATCCAGTGGGCTGCAACACATACAGCTGCTGGGACTAATGGGATTGCAAAGAGGCAAGACCCATGGCCTTTCACCCTGGTACAAGGCCCCCCTGGTACAGGTAAGACACATACTGTCTGGGGAATGCTAAATGTGATACATCTTGTTCAGTATCAGCACTACTATACTGCACTTCTGAAGAAATTGGCACCTGAAAGCTATAAGCAGAATAATGAGAGTAACTTGGATAATGTTGCCTCTGGATCTATTGATGAAGTCCTCCTAAGCATGGATCAAAATCTATTTCGCACTCTCCCTAAACTTTGCCCAAAACCTAGGATGCTTGTCTGTGCTCCTTCAAATGCTGCTACTGATGAGTTGCTTGCACGTGTTCTTGATCGTGGATTTATTGATGGTGAGATGAAAGTTTATCGTCCTGATGTTGCCAGGGTTGGGGTGGACTCCCAGACTAGGGCTGCTCAAGCAGTTTCTGTAGAAAGAAGAACCGAACTGCTTTTAATGAAGAGTCGTGATGAAGTTCTTGGATGGATGCATCAGTTAAGAAATCGTGAAGCACAATTGTCTCAGCAGATTGCTTGCCTTCAAAGGGAGCTCAATATTGCAGCTGCTGCTGGTAGGGCACAAGGATCCGTTGGTGTTGACCCTGATGTTCTCATGGCAAGGGACCAAAATCGAGACTCTTTGCTGCAGAACCTTGCAGCAGTAGTTGAGAACAGAGATAAAGTGCTTGTGGAGATGTCTCGTCTTGTAATTCTAGAAGGTAGGTTTCGTGTAGGTAGCAACTTCAATATGGAGGAAGCTCGTGCTAATCTCGAAGCTAGCTTTGCAAATGAAGCTGAGATTGTTTTTACAACTGTGTCAAGTAGTGGACGGAAGTTGTTCTCTCGTCTTACTCATGGATTTGACATGGTTGTCATCGATGAAGCTGCCCAAGCCAGTGAAGTGGGTGTTCTTCCTCCTCTCTCTCTTGGTGCAGCACGTTGTGTGTTAGTTGGGGATCCACAGCAGCTTCCTGCAACTGTAATCAGCAAAGCAGCTGGAACATTGATGTATAGTAGAAGCCTCTTTGAGAGGTTCCAACAAGCAGGCTGCCCAACAATGTTGTTATCTGTGCAATATAGAATGCATCCTCAAATTAGGGATTTCCCTTCCAAGTATTTTTACCAAGGTCGCCTTACTGATAGTGAGAGTGTTGTCAATTTGGCTGATGAAGGATATTACAAGGATCCTTTGTTGCGGCCTTACATCTTTTATGACATTACACATGGCCGTGAATCCCATCGAGGCGGATCCGTCTCCTATCAGAATACACACGAGGCACAGTTTTGTCTTAGGTTGTATGAGCATCTTCAGAAAACTTGTAAATCTTTAGGTGTTGGAAAAGTATCTGTGGGTATAATTACCCCATACAAGCTGCAACTGAAATGCCTTCAGAGAGAATTTGCAGGAGTCCTAAGTACAGAAGAAGGGAAAGATATCTACATCAACACTGTCGATGCATTCCAAGGTCAAGAGCGTGATGTCATTATTATGTCTTGTGTCCGTGCATCAAATCATGGAGTGGGTTTTGTTGCTGATATACGCCGGATGAATGTAGCTCTCACTCGTGCACGGAGAGCTCTTTGGGTATGCTGTTTCTCTCCTATATATATTCATATTCATATATATACATAATATGCATGCTGAAGTTTGTAAAATATGGGTACATTAATCTTGATTTTGTTGTATCAGGTAATGGGAAATGCCAATGCACTCATACAGTCTGAAGATTGGGCTGCTCTTATTGCTGATGCTAAAACAAGAAAATGTTATATGGATATGGATTCTTTGCCAAAGGACTTATTCATGGTGAAAGGTCCTTCTCATGCCAGAGGTTTGAGACCTGGGCCCCGACCTAGGCTGTATGATTCACAACTGGATTCCAGGTCAGGGACACCTTCTGAAGATGATGAGAAGTCAAACACATCACATGGTCTAAGGAATGGGAATTACCGGCAGTATAAGCCACAACTAGAGAATTCTCTGGATGAATTTGATCAATCTGGAGATAAACCTAGAGATGTTTGGCAATATGGTTTACATAAGAGGCAAAATGGGCCTGGAGTTGGGAGAAGAAACTTGTAGCAAGTTTCTCATTATCTGAAGAATGAATCCCCCACCTTCCATGCATCATTCAGCATTACAAGGGACCAAAATTGAGATTCTCAAGAAGTGGGGTATACGACCATTAAAGCTGTAAAGAAATGGGGGACTGGAATGGAGAATTCTTGGAAGAAAGAAGTGAACTAACAAGTGCGAATGTTGCATGGAGGTCTCTCCGAGATCACAGATTGCTGCTTGGTTGTGCATGTGCAGGAGGTGCTAAATGAACATACGTGCAGACCCGCTGAGGCAAGTATTTTGAACATTAGGAAGTCCTGTCACTATACATCCAAACTCTCAACTCAACAATGGACTTGGGAAACTAACCAAGAAACTTTTCTTTTGCTGGTTGGATCTGGGGCAGAAAGAAATTGTTCTGCTCAATGGTTATCAACATTTCTGCCTTGAAAGTCTCCAAATTTGATACCTTCTTGGATATTATGCCCTTGTCAACCACTGGGACTGAAGTGTCTTGGTCTCGGAGTTGCTGGTTGTTGGAGCATCTCTCTGTACTCTCTAGTGTGTCATGCAGAGTATTCGAGTTCTCACTACTGGCTAGTTTGAAGGTTGGCACACTTTTCTACACCCTGTACAGAAACATGGTGGATTTACAGATATTATTATACTGGAAATGTTGTTGTTGAGACTTGAGAGATGCCCATGCCGGACGCTCAACTTCTGTATATATTCAGTTGGTCAAACATAGAATTCTTTCTTAGGTGCAATTTTTAAAATATATCTTCTATAATATATGTTATATTTTATTATTTATGAGTTTTGAGCAATAGGTCTACCATCTAAACAGATGTGTAATTTACTATCAAAATGCTCATATTTGCTCATCTTTCACTTAAAGCATATGTTATTCCATCGTCGATTGCCAACTATGGTCCACCTGCCAATTTCATCATCCATCCATCATTTTAGTTTGAATATTTTTTTTTAATAAATTGAGATTACAAATTATTAATCATTTGTTGCAATAGTAATACCACACCCAAAGTAAGCTTAGTCTCAATGAATTGGATTTTTTCTTTTAAATCCTTTTCATCTGACTTTCGGAAATGGTAAACGAAAATGATAGCGTGCCTAAACTAGACTTCTAGAGTCATCATTAGATTCCTAAAATTTTAAAAATAATATATTGTAAATATTAAATTTGGTTACATAAATGTTTGGATAGCAATTAGCAATTTGGTTACATAAATGTGAGGTCTCATGTTATTAAGGGAATAACTTTGACTCTCTCAAATGGTAAAAGATCTCAAGTTCAAACCTTGTGCATAGACTCTTTATGCTTCAGTAAATTAGAAAAGTATATATAAATAAATACTACATTGTACAGTAAATTAAAAAAGGAGTAAATACCAGCTAAGGTCCCTCGTCCCTAACTTTTATAATTAGCATCCGTGGTCCTCCGAGTTACGAAATGTGATCTGCTATCATCCTTCTGTTAATTCTTTCCGTCTCAGCCGTTAAAATCATGGGTAAATATGTCATTTGTCTTATAACAAAACACTCTGACATTAAAAAACAAAGTTAATAGTTTATTATCCTCTGTCGACCCTTGCCATACCTCTCGTCACCGACTTTCATGGTCGGCAATTCTCCTCCGTCTCAACACCGACGACCACCCCCCTCTCTCCGACCTCTCCGCCGTTGTCTCCTCGACTCCTGCCGACGATGATAACCACCGCTCTCAAACTTCTTCCCCCACCACCAGTGGTCGGCGGTGGCGACTTGCAATCAGGGAACGGAGAAGCAGAGCGACTAACCTGGCTGCTGCAGTGTAGTCTACTGGTTTTGGAAGCAGTGATTACCCATTTAGAAACTGGATGCAAGAAATTAAATTAGAAAAAAAGAAACAAAACAAAACAAAAACTTTGGCTAAAGTTAAATCAATGCCCAAGAAATGCAGGGTAGCTTTTCAACAAGGTGGCTAAGGGGCGGTTGAAGGAGGTGATCTGGAAATACTTTAAGCTTCGCCGCCGTCGTGAATTTTTGCCACAGCCGCGGCGTGTACCACCGCGATTTGAAGCCAGAAAATCTTCTGCTAAACGAGATTTTGGGTTGAGTGCGCTGGCGGAGTCCTGCCGGCAGGAAAGGCTCCTCCACACCACGTGTGGCACGCCGGCGAATGTCGCGTCACAAGAAAATTAGCAAATTCCTGGTTCCAAAAGGGTTTCACCCAAAATCCAACCCCAACCCAAACCCATAATCTCCAACGCCGATACTTAGAACGAAGAATCTCCAAGTACCGTTTTTGACGATCACTCCACCTCGGACGCAGCGGGATCCTCGATGAAACCCACGTGCCTGAACGCATTCGACATCATTTCTCTCTCCCCAAGCTTCGACCTCTCTGGTTTCTTCGACGTGGACACGAACAAGAAAACAGAGTCTCGGTTCACGATCAAGACATGAGAAAAATTACAGATGACCACGAATTCCATGAAAATTACAGAGTCTCCCCAAGCAGCCGACTTCCACTATCATCTCCAAGTTTGAGGAAATTGTAATTTTGGAGCACTTTCTGGTGCAGAAGAAAGACGGGATGGGTTGGTGAGGTTTTCGGCAATGGGTTCATTGGGAGGACATGGAAAATTACATATTTACCCATATTTTGACGGCTGAGACGGAGGGATGTAACGGAAGGATGGTAGCAGGTCACATTTCGTAACTCGGATGACCACGAATGGTAATTACAGAAGTTAGGGACTAAAGGTGGTGAAATCACTAAATTCGATGGACCTTAGCTAGTATTTACTCATTGAAAAAGTATATACGAATAAATACTACATTCTAATATAGTAAGCAAAAAAATAATAATAAACAGACGAAGACAAATCCAATTTTCATGTTTGAATAGTTTGACGATCTTGACCACAAGCATTTTGTACTCACACCTGCAGGCTGCTGCAGATAATAATATCCTTTTTTTTTTCCTCACATGGTGTGCGCCATTCTCCAACTGTAGATCACATTGCTTTTTCTATATATAATTAATAAATATATACGAGATTATTTACTTGCCTAATATATTATTAATACTATTTTAGCAGCAATGCCGCCCATATTTCCTTCTCGCTGATGTAGGCAACCATTTTTCTCGGTTGACTCTCTATATCCATTCCATGGGCTTTTGCCCGTTCAAAATCTCCACCATTTCAATCTCCTGAAATCTCGATACCCCCATACAGGTAAACTTACCGCTTGCACGAATCTCGATTTTCTGGTTTTTTTTTTTTTTTTTTTTTTTTTTTTTTTTTTTTTTCAATAATTAAGCCTTGAACTTGTTTGTTATTGTTCAAGAATTTTCATTTTCATAGCGTTTGTACGATTTCGCGGTCTAATTGCGTTGCATTAATAATTAATAATATGGAGTGTTGTTATTTTTCTAATGATCATGATGGGTCATCGAGGTCGAATTGCTTTTAATGATTAAATTGAGTGGCTGTTCTGATTCCGTCTAAATGTTGAACTTGGATTGTGGAACAATTTGAATTATAATCATGTGGATGTGCAAAAGTTTTTTTTTAAAATTTTATTCTAATGTAGATGAGCTTTTTGTTCTTTCATGAACTAGAGTGGGTAATCAGAATCCATATCACTGGATGATTCTGTCATGGCAATTTCAATGGATTCTGAGACTTAGATACAAAGTTATATGGGCTGAAAAAAGCTGATAAATTGTCTTGTATCTTTAGTAAAATTGCAATTGAAGAGGGAGCAAGATAAAAAGTTTTATGGAAAAATTTTAAATGTATGCCTGCTGGAATTTTGGCATCTCATTAATTGCCTCACTGATAGAAAGAGATGCTTATGTTTATGCTAATATGAGTTGGTACTTTGTGATTAAAGATGATGTTTCCCAGGTGAACTGCACTGAATTTCTTTGTTTAATGTTTGCTTACCTGGATTCCATAGAAAAACAGTCAAGAGACAGGATCAGACAAAATACTTTTACCTTAAAGTAAACACATTTCCTGCACTGCACGACTATGAATATTGGGTCTAAGAAGCCCTCGACTAATGGTTATGAGAATTCTTTGGGCCCAGAAGCACAGAAGCAAAAGGTATCATATACTATAAACTGGCCTCTCTATACATATGAAGGACATTCGTAATGTCATGCTACACAAGCTAGCTTGTTACTTCCGCTTCCATGCAGATTGATGAAGTGAGGAAGTTGATTGGCCCACTGTCTGGTAAATTGGCTCTGTATTGTTCAGATGCATCCATATCAAGATATTTAAGGGCACGAAACTGGAATGTCAAAAAGGCTGTTAAGATGCTTAAAGCAACACTGAAGTGGAGACTGGAATACAAACCAGAAAATATCCGCTGGGTAATGCTTAATGTTTTCTATTATTTATCCTTAATGTGGTCTCATTCAGTCATTTGAAATGATGTTTGTTTTTCAACTTCAAAATGTTCTTTTGTTGGGAATCTTCTGTCAATCATTTCAGTTTCACTTATTTAGTAACTTTATAAGTTAAGCATGTTAGTATATGTGCTGATAAATACATACTTGGTCTGGTCTGTTTGGTGATGCAGGATGATATTGCCTCTGAGGCTGAAACTGGAAAGATTTACAGGTCCGATTATAAAGATAAACATGGAAGAACAGTTCTAGTCATGAGACCCAGATGCCAGGTTTGCTCCAAAAGTTGGCTTGTAAACCATGTTTCTGCCCTCATGTTATGTTTTTATTTTCCTCTGAACCAGTTAAACCAGAACTGTGTGTGTTCTTTCCTTACAAAATTACAGGAAAAGAAGAAAGCTGTTCTTGGTGTTGCATCTAAGTTAATTGAAGTAATAAATATTGGATAATAAGAAGTATGAGAAACATGTTTTTTTTTTTTTTTTTTTTTTTTTTTTAAATAGTTGAAATTTTATTTTATGCTGTTTCACTATAATATTTGTTAAATTCAATTCCTTTGTGTACTTGCCTTGAAGGTTCCTCCCGTTCTGATTACCTCCTTTTGAATTTTCTAAACTTTTGAAGTTGATATATCTCTGTAGAACACCAAATCAACTAAAGGCCAAATCAGGTACTTAGTGTACTGCATGGAGAATGCTATCGTAAACCTTCCTGAAGATCAAGAACAGATGGTGTGGTTGATCGATTTCCATGGCTTTAATGTTTCACACATCTCATTGAAAGTGACTAAAGAAACAGCTCATGTTTTGCAAGAGCATTATCCTGAAAGGCTTGGAGCAGCTATTCTCTATGATGCACCAAAAGTATTTGAACCATTTTGGAAGGTATTCCATCATATTCCTTCTATAGATTACATAATAATCCATTGCCATTGCAACTTGAATTCCCATATTTGTTAGTGTGTTCAAGTGTCACAAAGGTTGGGCTTGGTATAGTGGCCTGGAAACCACCTCTTCAAAAATAGAGGTAAGGTTGCCTACACCGTCTTTCCTTCAATCTTGCATAGTACACCGATATTGTAAGCTGGGTCTGGCCACTAATGTACGAGAGTTGTTTTCTGCTAACTTTTATTAGTGTCTCCAAATTGCATGTTTGTGGAATTGGCCCATGGCTGGATTTGGGATCTGGGAAATATCTAATGAAGAAATATAAGCTTTAGATACATTGGTTTAATAGCGTGAATCAGGTTTTTAATCGATTTATTCCAGAAATCAAGGACATACAGTCATCACAATAAAGCGTTTTTCCTGCAGATCTCTTGCATAGATACATTGTGGTTCTGCCTCATTCTCCTATGATGCTGAGTTTTTTGTTTAGCTTATGGAGATATTATAGATAATTCTTTTATTATTTATTTATTTTGAAGCAGTGATATATTTTATCGAGTTGTCACCTGTACACTGCTACTAAGTCATGCTGAGAGTTACTAGACATTCACAGTTTCACACGTCTTATCGACAAGTTATTCTAACCATTTCTTGAAGTGTATACTAATTATGTTCTTGTCTAACTGGTTCGACTTTAAACCTTTTTACTAGTTGACATCCAGTGATAATATTATTCATGAATAGGATTGCAATTATGAGCATTTATCTAGGAACTATTTTGCTTACTTTCAGAATATGACAACATTACCCATTTGTATTTGGCAAGTTTGTGATTCCTACTAATCCTCCCTTTCACTCAGAAACTATGATCAACTTATTGCAGGTTGTGAAGCCATTTTTGGAGCCCAAGACTACAAAGAAAGTCAATTTTGTTTACTCAGATGATCCGAATTCTAAGAAAATAATGGAGGACTTGTTCGATACAACTCAACTGGAATCTGCCTTTGGTGGGAATGAGAGTGCAGATTTTGATATCGCCAAGTATGCAGAGAGGATGAGGGAGGATGATAAGAAGGTGGCAGCGTTTTGGATGGTCGAAGATAATTCCAGATTAGGCGCTCCACCAGCATTGCCAGCTGTCCCGTCTTTAGAGGCAATGAATTCGGATTCAGATTCCGATGCCTCAAACAAGAAGGCTGAGAAATCAATTCATGTTGATGACAATGGAGAAGCAGCTTCAGATGATGAACCTTTCCCAGCTCCCCATAGTGGAAATAATGGCACAAAAATAGTCTTAAAATGATGACGAGGAAATGTTGTTGTGGCTATCACTTTGATAGTTTTGCTAACTACTCATTGCTCAATCTCTCATGGCAAATGAATTAATTGTTGTAGCTGTGTAAACAGACAAGAGTTTTATCAGGACAAGAACATCATGAATTAATTCCTTGTTTTTAATACAAGGAAACTTGAATTCTACATTGATTAAGGTTGTCTGTTCTTTTACCCCGACTGATATCCCAAGAAGATAAATCCAGACAAATAAGAGTATTCAGAGAGAGATTTTACACTCTCCTTCAAAAACAATATCATATAATGTGAGTGCCTGCGATGTTACCAAGGCTTAATATCCACAAGGTTACAAATTCCAAACTCCCAATGGGAACGACCTATTAGTCTTCTTGGTTTGAATCAGTCAATTATGGACAACCCTCAAGTAATGGCAGCGATTTCCTAGTCAAATAAAAAATATGCCAAATATCCGGCAGGAATGTTTTTCATAGTACCAAGAGACGTCAAGAATGAAGACATGAAAGTAACTGTTGAGCACATACAGTTGAGGGTGATGAAGACCTTCACTGCCGGCCTGTAAATTTTCTAATCCAACAAAGACAGTTCTTCAGCAGACGATAGTTTCGTAAAGCTTAAGTTTAACTGCATACAGGTTTAGAAACCATGTAGAAAAAGACAAACCCAGAATTATTAGAGTATAGAAACCCAGATTCTTCTTCTCCTCCACTTCCTTTTTGGAGAAGTTATAACAATTCTCATTACCCTCCCTCACCTTTACTGTGTGTGTGTGTGCAAGCAAGTTTAGTTAAGGTCCCAAGAAATGATAAAGTTGCAATCTTTAGGGTGACCCACAGCATATGGAGTAACATTTTGTACCAGCCAGGGAAAACTGATTCAGGAAAAAAAAAAGCCATGGAAGTTAGTGCTGGTTTAATTGCAGGCTCTCACCAGCGGAATGAGCTGATTGTTTTTCGTCAAAATGAGTATGCTGTAAGATCCTAGCATTATTAACTGCATTGATATGCAGATGTGACTGTCCATCCAGTGGATATGAAATGAATTTATGATTTTGAATTTCAATGGCTTGTAGGCTAACCCATTGCAGCAGTCAAGTCGACAGATTTGCCAAATATGCAGCGATGAAATTGGATCGACTGTGGATGAAGATCCCTTCATTGCTTGTAATGAGTGTGCCTTTCCAGTCTGCAGAATTTGCTATGACTACGAGCGCAAAGAAGGCAGCCAAGTCTGCCCTCAATGCAAGACTCGTTACAACCGTCTCAAAGGTGAGAGATCATTCATGTTCAGTTCTTGCTTGGTATGATTCAATATTAGCTCTTGATCTAAGAGATGTATGAAAAGACTTTGTATTTTTGTTCCTATAGGGTGTCCAAGAGTGGAGGGCGATGAAGAAGAGGATGACATTGATGATGTGGAGAATGAGTTCAATTTTGATCTAAGAAAAACTACAATAATGGCTCTGACATGTTATGAAGGGAAATCAATATCCTTGGATCCTTCCAAGGACTTGACGGCTTATGGCTATGGAAGTGTTGCATGGAAGGAGAGGATGGAGAGCTGGAAGCAGAAACAAGGGAAATTACAGATGATGGGAGATGGAGATGATGATGAACTCGATTTATCACTGTAAAGTTCTTCTATGACTGATTATTATTGCCTTTACTCACAAAATTTTCTTGATTCTTCAAGTGTTGGTAATCAGGTTAGATGAAGGAAGACAGCCATTTTCTAGAAAGTTGCCAGTTCCATCGAGCCAAATCAACCCGTATCGTATGATCATCATCATTCGCCTTATTGTTCTTGGCTTCTTCTTCCACTATCGCATCACTCACCCTGTCATCGATGCATACGCCTTGTGGCTGACCTCTGTTATCTGTGAAATCTGGTTTGCTCTCTCATGGATTCTTGATCAATTCCCGAAATGGAACCCTGTTGATAGGGAGACTTACCTCGACCGCTTGTCCTTGAGGTCTGTTAATTAGCTTTGTTGAGCATATAACCATTAATGTGCAATCCAACTATCAGCTTAGACTTTTAGTTGAGATGGAACACATGCTTCAATTTAGTATCAGAACCAGACGGTTCGAATCACTACGATCCACGTGTTGCTTGGAACCCACCGCACACGTGAGGGGGCGTGTTCCAACTATCAGCTTAAGCTTTTAGTTGAGATGGAACACATGCTTCAATTTTGATTCTTTTGGTGTTCTTGTACTATGTAAAGCTCGAAACTTTCCTGTCATCTGTTAGGTATGAAAGTGAAGGCCAGCCATCTCAGCTCTCTTCGGTTGATATATTTGTGAGTACATTTGATCCACTGAAAGAACCACCATTGGTGACTGGAAACACAATTCTCTCCATTCTTGCAGTGGACTACCCTGTTGATAAGGTCTCGTGCTATGTCTCAGACGACGGTGCTGCCATGTTGACATTTGAAGCATTATCAGAAGTGTCAGAATTTGCTAAGAAATGGGTTCCTTTCTGCAAGAAATTCGACATTGAGCCTCGGGCTCCCGAGCCATATTTTGCTCAAAAACTCGATTATCTCAGAGATAAAGTCTCGACTGGATTCATCAAAGAGCGAAGATCAATGAAGGTGAATATCATATATTCATTCTCAGCCTGCTTTTGTGTTTCATTCTAACTATTTATCAATTTTGTAGAGAGAATATGAGGAATTTAAAGTCCGGATTAATGCTTTGGTGGCGAAGGCACAAAAGGTTCCAGACGAAGGGTGGGTAATGCAGGATGGAACCTCTTGGCCTGGAAATAATGTTAGAGAACATCCTGGGATGATTCAGGTAACTATATAATATATAACATCCTTTTTTCTTTCCTTATATTGCCTATCTTTAGTAATTTGTCATTGGTCTTCTATAGGTTTTTCTTGGACAAAGTGGAGAAGGAAATGAGCTACCAAGGTTAGTATATGTGTCGAGAGAAAAGAGACCTGGATTCAATCACCATAGAAAAGCCGGTGCAATGAATGCTCTGGTAAGCTATGCATAAAACATAAAGAAAGCGAGCTAAACAGCACAGTTTAATCTTTGTTTCTTATCCTCTGAGCTTTACTTTATGTATAGGTGAGAGTGTCTGGTGTGGTCACGAACGCGCCTTTCGTGTTGAATTTGGACTGCAATCACTACATCAACAACAGCAAGGCGTTAAGGGAGGCGATGTGTTTCATGATGGATCCATTGCTGAGAAAGAGAGTGTGCTATGTTCAGTTCCCTCACAGGTTTCATGGGATTGACAGAAATGTTGTGTTTTTCGACGTATGAGTAACCTCAAAACACACAACAAAATTGATTTTTGTTTTGTACCCAGTTTTGTTCTTCAATAACTTTGTCATTTGCTGTCATGTGCCCCAGATTAACATGAAGGGTTTGGATGGCATACAAGGGCCAATCTATGTCGGGACCGGTTGTGTGTTTAGATGACAGGCTCTCTATGGCCTCGATGCTCCAAAGAAGAAGAAACCGGAATCTAGGACATGCAACTGCTGGTTAAAATGGTGCCTCTGTGGCTTCTGGGGCCGGGGAGAAAAGAAGAAGAATAAAAAGATGCCTAATGTTGAAACAAGCCCAATGGTTTCTGACATGGAATCTGGAGAGAACTATCAAGGTAACATCTGTGTTTAAACTTTTAAAAGATCATTTCCAAAGAACTTAACCTGCCAAATAAAGCTTCCCAGTTTCAAATCATTTCCACCAAGAACTGATTTCGTATTTTGTGTGGCGGGCGATCAGGAAGCAAGGCTGAAAACTGTTCCATTTCTGAGAACAAGTTAGAAAAGAAGTTTGGGCAGTCTCCTGTTTTTATCGCATCTACATTGCAAGAAAATGGCGGGGCACTTGGAAGCGCTAGCTCAGCTTCACTGCTGAGAGAAGCCATTCATGTAATAAGCTGTGGGTATGAAGAGAAAACAGAATGGGGAAAAGAGGTATCATTAGGCTCTGATACTATGCACATGGGCCAAACCAGACTAAAAGACTGAATTCAATCAGTTACCTAGTCTAACCCATGACCTTATAAACTCATATATTCTCTCTTATTTTTTTCACTCTTAACAGGCCTTTTTTGGGTTTCCAGGTTGGTTGGATATGTGGTTCAGTGACGGAGGATATCTTGACAGGCTTCAAAATGCATTGCCATGGGTGGCGATCGATATATTGTATGCCTTCCAGGCCTGCATTTATAGGATCTGCTCCCATCAATCTCTCAGATGCTCTGCACCAGGTCCTCCAATGGGCGGTTGGCTCAACCGAAATCTTCCTGAGCAGGCATTGCCCTCTCTGGTATGGATATGGAGGCGGCCTGAAATGGTTAGAGCGTTTCTCGTACATAAACGCTACCATATATCCATTCACATCTCTCCCGCTACTCGCGTACTGTACCCTCCCAGCCGTGTGTTTCCTCACAGGAAAATTCATTACTCCTCAGCTGGACAATGCTGGCAGCTTGTGGTTCTTGGGTCTCTTCATCTCCATTTTCGCCACCACCATTCTGGAAATGAACTGGAGCGGGGCTGGCCTCGACGAGTGGTGGAGGAACGAGCAATTCTGGGTGATCGGGGGCGTTTCAGCTCACCTGTTTGCCGTCTTCCAAGCTCTGCTAAGAGTTTTGGCTGGAGTTAACACAGACTTCGAGCTCTCAAAGGTTTATGAATGCAAATTAACATCCATTCTCATCCCTCCAACCACTTTACTGATAATAAACATCATAGGAGTTGCTGTTGGCATCTCTGGGGCAATGAAAAATGGGTATGTTTCATTTGGCCCTCTGTTTGGTAAGATGTTCTTTGCTTTCTGGGTGATAGCCCATCTCTATCCATTCTTGAAAGGTGTATTGGGAAGACAGAACAGAACTCCCACAGTCATTGTTGTCTGGTCAATCTTGCTTGCCTCTGTGTTCTCACTGCTGTGGGTTAGAATTGATCCATTTTTGGGCAACTCAGATGGCCCAGTATTAGAAGACTGTGGAATAGATTGTAACTGACACACAAACCTCAAATTCACACAATTGTTTCTATACAGTGAATGAAGATGAAATGGATGTTGGATAATTTATAGAGAAATTAAGATTCATGACTTGTGTTTGTGTGATTATTTAATATTTAGTGTTGTGGAGTATATAAATTTTATTCTCATAATTAAAATTTTCAAACAACCAAATTCAACTGGTACATTTTCTTTGTATTTCAAAAGTTCTTTATGGATTATCATATTGCTTTGGTGAATGATTGATGAAAAAACTTTTAAAAAAGTGAGTTCATAATTTCATATCACTTGAAAGTGCTATCTGATTTTATCATTTTAATCCTTATTTTATCAGAGCGAAAATATCCTACAATGAATTCATAAATAAATTCACCTCTTTTAGTGTCCTTCATCAAAAGTGGTCACCTAGTTTATAATTCATAATTAAGATTAAGACAATTCACATTACCAATTAAGAAGACTCATCTAGATTAGTGGAGAAGACTTTGAATGATTCAACTTGGACATGGTTAAAGCACTGAGCCAAGGGCCAAAAGTATAGAATGTGCTGAAAGTCAGACTTCAAAAGTTGAACCAATGAGTTCCCATTAATTAAGAGCACTAAAACCGTAAATGTTGGTCAAGACTAAAGATCGAGTACTGCAGATGGAGACCAGATGTCTATAAAAGATGCATTACAAGTTGTGTTGATCTCACATCACCTCCAAGATGAAGGGTGTTCTAGTTTTTGCTTGCTTTTCATGGATTCTTTCTCTGTTCTTTGTCCCATCTTTTGCCCAGGCCCCTCCATTCAAGGCGGTCAATCTCGGTGCTTGGCTTGTAGCAGAGGGGTGGATGACACCATGGCTCTTTGATGGCATTCCCAACAAAGATCTTCTGGTGTGTTAAGAGTTCCACATTAAAAAATAAGAAAGAAATGGGTTACAGTTGTTAATTGCTTAAATTTAATCTTTTAGTGTAGTTTGGTCATGAAGAGTGTTACAAAAAATAAGTTTTTAATGTGATCTGACTCGTGTACATTACAATCCAGTTGAGTAATCTTTTGATTATAACAACTTTCTAATAACTCATATCTTGGCTTCTTCTAGGATGGAACTCAAGTGCAACTAAGGTCTACGATGCTCAACAAATATGTAGCTGCAGAGAATGGTGGAGGAACCAATTTGGTTGCTAATCGCGCCAGTGCCTCTGGCTGGGAAACTTTCAAAGTATGTTTTAGACATGTTAATTAAAGCTCACAAATGGGCAAGTTCAGAATCTTCTCTTTGATGCTTAATTTCTATGTTCTTTATGATGTTTCAGCTGTGGAGGGTCGACGAAACTTCTTTCAATCTCAGAGTTTTCGGAAACCAATTTGTTGGGTACCAAGGAAGTAGAGTAGTTGCAGTAGCAACCACCCCAGGGCCTGTTGAAACATTTCAGATAGTGAGGAACAGTAATGATAAGTCCAGAGTTCGCCTCAGAGCATCTAATGGCCGCTATTTGCAGGTATTTCATGTTGTAATTAAACGTACAGTCTCACTATTGGTTATTCTCTTCGTACCTTTTAAAAGTTGCATGTTTTTCGTGTTAGGCGAAATCCGAGTCTGCAGTGACAGCAGATTATCAAGGCAATGCCAATGATTGGGGAGATCAGAACCCCTCAGTATTTGAGATGAAAACTTTTGGAAGTTTACAAGGTGAATACCAGTTAACAAATGGATATGGATCAGCTAGAGCTCCACAAGTCATGAAGGTACATTTATTCTATATGTATAGGGATGTCAATTTGGCCCGCCCTTTCAAATATAACTATCTGGTTTCAGCTTGAAGGATTCCCTTGTTGAGCATATAATATATAAACATAAATATGCAATCCAACTATCAACTTAGCTTTTAGTTGAGATGGAGCACACGTTTCAATTTTCCTAACTTTGAGTATTCCTACAGACTCATTGGAACTCATACATTATAGAGGATGACTTCAAGTTCTTGTCCCAGAATGGCATAAATGCTGTTAGGATTCCGGTGGGGTGGTGGATCAGATATGATCAGTCACCACCAAAGCCTTTTGTTGGAGGCTCCCTTCAAGCTTTAGACAATGCCTTCACATGGGCAGAGTAAGCTTTTAACCTTCATTAAGGTCTGCAGATTGAAGTCCTGAAGCTGATAATCAAACAAAACTCAAATCTTTTTTGCTCTTCTGATGCAGGAAATATAACATGAAGGTCATCGTCGATCTCCACGCAGTTCGAGGCTCTCAGAATGGCAATGATCACAGTGGAACAAGAGACGGTTCTGCAACATGGGGAGATTCCAACATTGATGAAACAGTTGCAGTCATAGACTTCTTAACCCAAAGGTCAAAATCATACATTTTTTCTCAGTCAGACTGAAAAGACTGAATCTAACCAATTAGCTAATCTAACACATGACCTTGAAACTTTTCAGGTATGCTAACAGGCGGGGCCTTGCAGCAATGGAACTAATGAACGAGCCAAACGCGCAATTTGTCTCGTTAGATACCTTGAAAACCTTCTACAGAAAAGGGTATGATGCTGTGAGGAAGTACACCCCGAACGCCTATGTGATCTTTTCGAACCGACTGGGAAATGCTCCCAACACAGAGCTCCTCGACTTCGCCAGACAGCTTCCTAAGACAGTCATAGACGTGCATTACTACAACCTTTACTGGGACCAATTCTCGAACTGGTCTCCACAACAGAACATCGATTACATATACCAAGACCGGGGTGCAAAACTGGGAGAGCTCACTCAAACTAACGGCAATCCCCTTACATTTGTTGGTTAGTCCAAACAAAAGTAACTGAAACTGGCTGTATATATGTTCATGAGTGCTGCTTTTTTCTGAAAATTTTATGTGACCAAATTGCAGGAGAATGGGTTGCAGAATTCGCGAAAGGCGGGGCATCAACACAGGATTATCAGAACTATGCCAAGGCTCAGCAGGATGTTTATGGGAGGGCAACGTTTGGATGGGCATACTGGTCTTATAAGTGCCAGTATGAACATTGGAGTCTTAAAAAAATGATCGAAAACGGCATCATCAAGCCTTGAGAAACAAGAACCTACACTAATTATAATCTTGTCAAATGAAACAAGACTGGGAATAATCTCACTTCATGTTTTCTGCAGTTTCCCAAAACAATAATAAATTTCTTAATGTACTGTATGTGACATAGTATATCCATTGAATTATGCTACCTACTTTAAACAGTGTGTTCCACTACATACACCATATATATAGATATTCAATTTTCTTGCCCACAAAACGCGAGATTCTATTAGCACAAAAGAATCCATTAATGCCCAGATAGAAACTCTGGGTAGGCTTGCTTTTAGGTTGTTTTCCAAATCTGTTGGCACAAAATCCGGGCACACAGGCTAGGTGGAGGCAGGTGATTAGTTGATGGCTGAGCAATGAAATTCCATCATATCGCAAGAAAGTGATGAATGGAAGAAGAGATTAAGGATTGATATGAGTGGATTCCAAGGCAGAAGAGATGGAGTATATGTCCTTTTTAGGTAGCATTATTATATTATCCCTCAGCTCAGGTCTGCCATTCCCTCATTTCACGTTGGTGGGAAACATAAACCATCAACTACTGGGAGTTTGATTGGTAAGGAGGATTCCCTTTGATCCCAAACCGCCCCTCTGTCACTAATTCACTATGGGGAGTGGAGTAAATTGTTTTTAATCTCCGGTTCACCTTACATGGTATAACAACTATTTTAATAGTAGCTAGTAAAAATTTAATAGTCAATAGTGTTTCGGTATAACAACTATTTTAATAGTAGCTAGTAAAAATTTAATAGTTAATAGTGTTTCGAGACAAGTTTTGGTACCTTACAAGTAGCATCAAACTGATTTGGGGTGTGTATGACTGTATCGATGTGAGTTAATACCAACTCAATCATTAAAGAAATTAAGAATAATAGACAAGTGGTTGTGAGAGCTTGATGTATATATGCACAACAAATGCTTTGTTATAGACTAAATAAATAACATCTTGTCATCCCTAATATAATGACTACTACCTAACTAGCTAGCATTCCTAGCAAGTAGCAAGGCTTGTGGAACTTTTGACATCATACAAGAGTACAAGACTGTAAAGTTTACACCCTCTACAAAATGTATTCTTTTTCTTCAATATCATTTTAACATAGCTTTTTCTGAATGCAAATATATAACCCATTTTAAGCCTAAAATTGTTACCAAATGAATGAAGCATAATTTGTATATTTAAAAGTTATAAATTCAATTTTTACCAATACTATCAAGTTTTAGGTAGTAATTGCGAGTTTTCCTCCTCCCCTACACACACACATATATATAGACATGATTATATATGAGAACACTTTTTGATGTGAGAACGAAGAACAAACATGAGTGCACAAAATTATATAAGGGAGGTTTCAAGTGAGAATGTCTCTTCCTGTCAAAAGTGTGGACACACCTGCATTATAGTAAACACCGCTCTTACAAATTTTTAATAATTATAAAATTGACTGTATTTTTTTACTAAAATGTTCAACTATTGATGAACATGATGGATAGTTGAGATCAGTCCTCACTTTTTATAATATGATATGTTATCATTTTATACTCTATATATATATATATATATATATATATATATATATATATAAAATAGCCCACCTTAACTTGTGCTCATTGCTGTACAAAAGGTATTTACATGATTCACTAATTAAAGCTAAATTAATTGCTTCATGGCGTCATGAACTGTTAAAACACTCAAATAAACATATAACAACAACTTGGTCACACAGAAAAAGATGGGGAATGAGCATGAGTCGGCATTGAGAGCAAATTGTGGAATATGCTTACATACGCATGCAGCCTCCCCTTTCATTTCAACGTCAAATGTGTTCCTTTGTCCATGTTCTCTGTAACCATCATATCAATATAATGATGCTGCACTACATACATGTCTTCATCTCAGTGCAGTGTTCAATATTATATAATCCCACTTTTGTTTTGTTTTAATAACTTTTACATAAATTCGTATTGACATCAGAGGTTGGCATAAATATTGATTTTAAATTAAGGGTGAT